AAGACGATTCCTGTTGGAAGGGAAGGACGTGGTAAGAATTGGCAGAATTGGTAGACTACTGCAGCTGGTAATATCGTGCCTTGCCGGGGTGTACCGTGTACCCCTTCCTTCTCCGCTCCCAGTGGCTCCTTCCCAGTTCCGACTCGGACCTCCACCCAGCCTGCCAGTCTCTGCAGCGGTGCCCAGTTGCCCAGGTCCGAGCTCACCTCAGCCTGAGCAATTTCCCGCGATCCCGGGGCGGATACGCGCCGCCCCAATCACAGCGGGGTACATCTTGCTTGTACACGTCTGTTTTGGCGACTTGGCAACACGGCTCCCTGGGCAAATCGAGAGATCTATTCTCAGATCAGCCACCTCACCTCTGTCAATAATCACTTCCTTCACCTCACCCGCTCACCCACCCGCTGCGCCCTTTGTCTGCTCCACCAGCCGGGGACGGGGACGGGCTGCCACAATAGCAGCATCAAGGTTTTTGACACGTCTTGCCGATCTTTCAAGGTCAAGGCATTGACCTTGTGTGCTGTGTGTTGTGCTCAGCTCCCGCATATGTGCCCGTACGTCACCTCATCTCACCTGCATCCAGGATTGGGCGGACAACACGACTGACCAGCCATGGCAGGACAATTAGATTGGGTAAACTCTACTGCGGTAGAACCAGGCTCAGGCACAGGCACAGGCACAGGAAACAGGCACAGGAAACAGCACAGTGACCACGCTATGACATGACAAGTAATCAACCCACACGGCGAGCACGCCGACCCCCCCCCCCCTCAGCTGCGCCGCTGCAGGCCCAGGCCGACTAAACAAGCCTCTTATCAAACTAGACCTTGGCCGCCGCCAGGCACGCGCCCTATCACAGCCGCCGGACCTGCCAAGATGCCCCATTGCCCCTGACAAGGCCGGTAGCCTCAGGAACATTCTGCTCGATGCCGCCATGACAATCCCACCCACCCCACCGAGAAAGAAACCTTATCCTCCTTTGTCGTGTGTCTCGTTGGCGCTACCCTGTGGGCCGTTGGGACCCAGTGAATAAGCATGGCCTTCACTCCATCTTACGAGCCTAGGCCGCCCTGAAGGGCCAGTCTCGCTGTTCTAGCCCAGGGGACGGGGGTGGGCGGCGGCGGCAGGGTGGTGCCCGCGTCTGCCCGCCTGTTTGTTGTTGCTTTTGCTGCTGATGCTGGTCCATGTTCGTCCGGTATTTGAACTGCCCGTTGCCCTCCTCTCTCGTTCGTCTCATGTTTCCTCTTCCTGACTGCATACACAGACTGCACTCTCTTGTCATTCCTTCACCAGAGCAGGCAACTCTCACTCACTACTCCGTAGCCATCACTCCTTAGAGGCTTCGTCGAGCAACAGACTCCAGTCAAGTCTAGTCCTTCTTTAACAGAGACAACACACCGTCCTTCAAAAACCAAAAAACCAAATACCGCAAACATGCAGTTCTCCGCCATGAAGCGTCTCCAGGTCCTGGCCGTCCTCTTCCAGGCCGCCCTCCTCACATCCGCCCTCCCCGTCGAGAAGCGTGGCACAGCAATCCACTCTGGCAAGCGAATCATGCTCTGGGACTACACCCTGACCCAGGCCTACGCAGGAAACGGCAACATCCAGGCCTCTGCCTCCTCCCTCAGCACATCCCCCGGCGTCAGCGCTGCCCTCAACTGGAACACATGGAAGCCAGAGGAGCTCCCCGCGGACGTCCCCTTCCAGCCCATGATCCGCACCCCTGCCCAGCTGCAGGGTGACGAGTGGAAGAACCTCCTCGGTGCCATCCAGGCCGGCGGTGCCAACACCCGTGTTCACTTCTACAACGAGCCTGAGCTGAACGGTGTCAACGCCGGCGACGCTGCCGCCGCCTGGAAGAGCACCGTCCTCCCCCTGCGCGCCCAGTACGGTGTCAAGCTGGTCGGCCCCGCCGTCGCCAGCAACGAGGCCGGCAACGCCTGGCTCGAGCAGTTCTACGGCGCCCTCTCCGCCGACGAGAAGCCAGACTTCCTCGGTGTCCACTTCTACACCAACGCCGACACACCCGCCGAGACCGAGGTTGAGAACGCCAAGAACTACATCTCTGAGAAGCACGGCCAGTACGGTCTGCCCGTCGTCGTCTCCGAGATTGGCAGCACCAGCCGCGACTCAACCAGCGTTGACACCTTCACCAAGTCCGTCTCTTCGTGGCTCGAGGGCCAGGACTGGGTCGACTCATACGGCTTCTTCGGCGCCACCACCACCCCCGTCGACGGCTTCGTGAGCCCCGCCGCTCAGCTGCTCGACACCAGCGGTGCCTGGACTGCGCTGGGCCGCTGGTGGGTCGGAGAGTAAATGGGGAGGCACTGCGACGGAGCGAGACGGTCGGGGACCAGAACCTCTTCATGAACTGCCGCTTCGTTACTTCACTTCTCCTCCACCCCAAATGTAGGGTCTTTTAGAACGAACTTTTGGGTATGTGTTACGACTTCATAGCATAATGAACTAGTGTCAGTAAATACATACTGTTGAAAAAGAAATACCCCGCCTCATGATGCAAATCTGTGTGACTGTTTCGTGATCTTCATTGGTTTAGATTCAGCCAGTCAGTAATCCAAGTCCCCCCTTGTACACACCCGAGACATTGATTCAAAGACGGCCCCGGCGCCCAAAGTGATCACTTGATTCACCTTCATCGGCGGCCAAACCAATACCTCGGAATTTCGTGCGCCATTGCTTCAAATCAAACAACAACCGTGTTCATTTGGAAGATGTTTTCCAAGACTCTTGTTACTACCTACCCATCTTGTGCGGTGTTGTGTTCTATTATGGGAGATGATGATCCCTTGCTATTCCGGCTAGTTTCAAATCCCACTTTCGCAGTTGGCATCGACCACTATTGGCATGGCCAAGTTTACAATCTCACCAACTCGGGTCCCCCAACCAAGGTTCAGACCCTCGGCGCCGTCCCTTCTTGAGCGTGTCCTGAAACCCCCAGGCCTGACCTGCTTGGCCTGCCTTCATTTTCCTCCCGTGGGGGTTTGAAGAGGGGGGGGGGGTAATAGAGAGCAAGGAAGGCATCATTAGCCCCCTGTGTGTCCTCATCCTCCGCCAAAACCCACGAGATGCCCCAGAACCGGCACCAAAGAAAAAAGACAAGTCCACCATCCGGATGGTGGCCGATGCGTTCGAATGGAAGATTACGTCGGAATCCACAGTCAGTCATTATGGGTCACCGCCGGCACTTTTCTACCCAGTGTTGACAGTGTATTGTGAAAGGGAAAAAAGGGGATCGGCACGCCTGGCAAGGCACTTACACGCCGGGGCTTTTCGCGCTCGCTTCCCGCTTCCCCATGCTCTACACAATCGCTACGATGGATACAAAAGACGACCTTGTCTATCTCTGTCGTGACCGCCTCCAAAAGTGAGGCTAAGCCTGAGGTTTGTCTTTTGAATTTAAGATTAAATCCCACCCTCCCCCACAGAACAAGTCCCGATCCGTACCATGGCAGCGGTTGCGACGCTGCATGTGGCTAAGTCCCAGGGCGGCGGGCCAGCTGGGCCTGCTGGATACTGGGGACTCTGGGCTGATATTCCCCACCGTGGGTTATCTTTTTCGTGTCCTTTGTTGGCAACTTGGTAGGTGCGTCAGTTTTGGGCTGTTCTGGTTCGGTTCCATTTTATTTAGCGAGGCGCATCATTGTTGTGGGCAGGCGGGCTGGCGGGCTGGCAGGGCCTGAAAATTGTGGAGTTTGGCCGCCCTGTCGTGTTCGGAGATGACTGACGGCGGGTTTGACTGGGTGCTGCGGCACTCGCCGCCCCGTTCGTTCCTGGCCCTGCTTCTTTCTCTGCCCTGTCGCCCGCCCAGGAGCTTAAAAATAGTGCTTCTTTATGGTGGTCGAACCTCATCAGGTATTTTGACCATGTGGATTTTTGGAATGTTCACCACGGGTGGATCGTCTATACCGAGGCCGCCAGCGACTGCCAGCTGCAGGGGGAGGGCGACCAGACCCACGGGGCCGGGAGGCCAGTACGGATGGATAGGCGAGGAGGGTGCGCTACGGGATGTGGTGGCTTTTTTCTTTTTTTCTCGGCCGGGGCGACTCCCGCTTGATCCGTCCAAGAGACGGACCTACACATGGGCCAACACACGACTGACTCGCCGCCGCGGCGGACTCGGACTTGGCCGATCTTATGCCCTTTTCGGTGTGGCGAGGGACACCGTTGATGTCTACGCCGAACATGCCTTGGTATTTGTAAACCTGGAAAGTCTTGGGTTGTTCACCAGTCTCGGCGGTTGTCTCCCTGCCGACGTCGGCTAAGTGAGTTCCGAGCCCACTAATCGAAGGTATGACTTGAGCAAGGCAACATACTACCGTTGTACAGTGGTATATGTACAAGAACCGCGACCAAATTGGTTAGGATATAATACTGCTAGTCTCGAGGCATGTGGGAAGTGGTAGTAGGTGAGTACACATTAGCCAGTCTTCCGCAAAAGTAGCTAGAGAATGATACAATAGGCATGAAAAGAGATTGTCTATGTGTGATGAGGAGCGTCTCAAAATTGTCATGATGATATGATCGATGTCGAGGGCATTGCAAGAAAGGAGACTGACTGATTCTCCCTATAAAACAGGCAAGCCAAGAGGCATTTAAATGTCAACTGTAAAATCAAGCAAAAGACGGCGACCCTAACCGGTGTGGTGGCTCGAAGAGGGCCAGCCTCGAGCCATCAACAGAATTTCCTTGATAGAGCGATGGAGCGCACCTGTACAGTGAGGGACGAATGTCATCAGTCATAACTGTGTCCATAACACACTGTGCCTCTTAGGGTTATGACAGCAATTGAGACGACGGGGGAACAACCTCTGAGGTCTTGGTTGATAAGCCAATTCCATTCACTCACCACGTTTGCGCTGCCCCACTCGCGACGTTTGCCCAAGCGCAAGGCTGACGAGCCCCTGCGCCCGGGGTGAATAACATGCAACACCCACTCCCAGCTTCATAGGTAAGCCAATGCCAGCATTTCCAACAACTCAGGCCACTTGGTGTAATTGGTTAGCATTCTGCCTAGCCAGGTGATTCCCCAGAAGGCGGATCTACACCAATCCCGATTCACACGACAATCTGCTGGATGAGCTTTCATCTGCCGTAAACGGTGGAAGGTGCCAGTTCGAGTCTGGCAGTGGTCTCTCTTTTTGCCTCTGACTTTTTCAACCGCAAACACTTATTAGCTGCCGAGGTCAGAACGTTCCAAGCGTCGTGCAATTTGAGTGCTGAGCACTGCCTCTTTGGCGACTTCCTGGACGGACGTCATATTTGGACTAAACTTTGCGACTTCCTGGGCCACCAAGTTGTTTCTGGTCGAATCAGTTGACGACTGCTCATTCTAAAGACTGATAAGTACGCACAACCGCGGCCCCGAGGTCTTCTTCCTCGTTAGACGTTGAGGTGGTAGGATGAGTGGTAGGTTTCAAGCCCATCGCAACAAACAATGTTACTGACCACCGCCAGCTGGCGCTCTTCGGTGCAACAATCACACTTTGCGAGAATTTTAGATTTGAAACCGCTATTAACAACCAGCCTTTAACCATTTATCGGTTGATGCCCTTGGCCAAACTCAAAGCAACCCCTCTCCCTTTCTACATCTACACATAATGGCTGATAATTATGATCCAGATAAGCAAATCCGTCTTGCACTCAACGACCGAATTGAACGAGATACCGTTCTGTTCTTCGACTGCATGACACCCCTTATCAAGAAAGAATTGAATCATGTCATCAGATGTCAAACGGAGGTTCTCAACCTCCTCCTGCCACCGCCACCCGCTTATGACCTAGCACAACCCGGAGATCTTGATACAATGAACGATCATCTTATGAAACACTGGAGCAAGGCTCACGGGATCTCATGCTTCGAGCTGCTGTCCTATTGGGCATTGCCTTGTTCCAATCTTTTCTCACCAGACAACTACGCCAAGACTGTACTGGAAAGTCTTCTGCAGTTCTCCTAGGGGTTTTATTCAGAGCGAAATGCATCGCAAAACACGCTGACAACGCAGCTGATATACGGTCGCAACACGGCCGAAGGATACCAAATCCATATCATCTGGCCGGCAGAAGAAACGTGCCTCAGCCGGAACCATGTCCAACATCGACAAAAGAAAGGTGACCGGTGCAAGATCAAATCCGATTTTCTATGGCCAAGTCCTAGCAGATATATGCGTAGCCGTTGCCCAGACTAAAAGCCCAGTCCAAATCTCCGTTCCTCTTCGCCGTCTTGCTTTCCCACGCCTACTTCTGGGCATGTATGAACTTTTCTGGCACTCCCTGAGGCATGCGGAATTACATTCTTCCTTGGCTCTATGTTGATATCCTGCTTGAGCATGTTCTGCACACGTACATTTCGAGTGTGTACGGACAACAGGGAAGAGAGCGGCGGGGACACATCGGTTCCCTTTCCTCGGTTGTGTGTGAACTCGTCTCTTGGAAAGGTGAACATCAAGAAGTATCCTGAAAATCTCAGCTTTGACCAGACCCGGATTTGTGCCCAAGACATCGCGCCAACCAAGCAGACATCGAAGCAGCATGTTGAATTTGACTTGCCATGGCCCAGTGGCTTCGCAGTCTGGCGGCCACAAATGAGGAGGACATTTCCTGGTGCCGCGTCTCCCACTTGCATCTTGTACACCCACGAGGCCGCCTAGACACTGTGCTTCACCATCTTGTCGGCTCTAAGCGCTGGCTCCGTTTCTCCCCGCGAGTTCCAGGATTCGTTCCGCTCGGTCAGGATATTCTCTCAGAAGCTCAACGGTGACAGGCCGACATGCCCTGCCAGATCCCCTCTGCTGGCATTTGTCGCAAGGGGTTTGCCCGTTGCACCGACGCCTGCCCTTGAAGCAGCTCTTGCATCTGGGAAATGTGTCCAGGTCGACAGAGTCTGGGTCAAACTCTGTTTGAATGCTGCTGTTTGCCGCATCGTCGTCATTGGTAGTGAGAGTGGCATTGGCCACGACACTGTTATCGGCAGTAACATTTTCTTCGGCGGTAGTGTTGTCACTGGAAGCAACATTGTCATCGCTAGCAACGCTGTTCTCGGGGATGACCTGGTCGTGGGAGGTAGATTCAGGTATTGGGGCAGACTGAGGGCGCGGTGGAATGTCGATTTGTGCTGCTGGCACAGTCACAGAAAGGGGTGTTTTTTCATGTGTGGTACCTGTTGACAAGGCATCCAGTCCAATGACGCCTTTGGTTGTGTGTTGGTGTGAAGTGCCATCCCCGTCGAAGCCCCGCTGAATCAGACCGGCCTTGCTGTCGCTGATATTGGTGTCAGGATCGTTGCCAGCTTTGGACTTCCCGTCCGCTGGCCTGATGGTTAGGCTCACTTCCATACGAAGCATTTGGTTAATCTCAGCGAGCCTTTTGTCGATGTTCTCATTGTTGAGACCACAGTCCGGCGTGTCGCAGTTCCAATTGAGGCGCTCGAAAGAGGCTAGGAAGCGTGTGCATTCCTCGATATATTTGCAGTCGCGGAAAATGCATTCGTGGAGCTCCATCGGCCCGGCAGTCGCACGGCAGGCATTGCAGATTGGCTGAACGGTGATACACATGTTTTCAAAGCTGCGAGTGTGATGTAATTGAGATGGCTGAAGTGTTCAAAGGTCTAGTTCGTCGTGCTTGAGGTTTGGGGGCTGGCTCATGCCTGGGCGAAAAGCAGTGAAGGGAGTTGGTAACGATGGCTTATTTATGCCCTTGATTCAGAGGAGGAATTAAAGCACTGTCTGTTACTTGAGGCATGTTTCTCACAAGTCGATTTGATTCCATCATGTGCCATCATCCTGAGGCTTTTAAAATAGGCAATAAGACCTGAGATATCTATCACACACTTCCAAGTACCCCTTCGAAGTGTATTTAGGTACATTGTAACGTTTTTTTGAACTCAGGTTCTATCTTTCAGCTCTCCTTGCCGGATTTGAAACTCGGAGCTGGACAATACAAGAGTTTGAACACAGTATTCGCTTCTCATACTCAAGTGCTCGTAACATTTAATTTTACAGTCTAGATTTCGGAAGCCTTTCCATCTGGGCGGTCCTTCTTTGCCAGTTCTACTTCAGGCACGAGTTTGGCAGATAACATTATAAGCATGCTGCTTTTGAACACAGTTTGAACACGGAAAAACCAGAACTCTTTGAGAAGCTAACGTCTACTATGATTGACTGCAGGAGACTGAGACTAGGAAATGTTGAGCGTCTGCATTCCTGAGCGCTCAGAACCCTGCCAAATACAGCATGATGGAAAGGGCATCTTGTTTCTCTGAAACTGGTCGCATGAGAGATAGGGTACTATAGAGAATTGATAATTGCGGCAAGATCTGCTACACTCGAAAGTCCCTGGGAGCGCCTTAGTGGCAAGTTGATCCACCATTTTGTCCTGAGGTACAACAGCCGTTTTTGTCTCCTTTGTTCATGCGGCAAAAGCACGATACGTTGATCGGTACATCAGCCGACGCCAAAGCAATGCCAAGTGGCCCCTCGACATACAATGCCTCATCGACCTTGTTCGACCGCACAAGACACTCATGCAATCCATGCAAAGCCCACACATTGTTAAGATGCGCCCGACGGCGCGGAAAGCCCGCAGCGAAGCCCAGATCCTCCTTGAACACCCTCTCCGCCTCGTCAACGCGGCCCTGCTCGAGCAGCAAGCCCCCCAGAGCATGACGGACAGGCTGCATCCACGGTGGCGGGTCAGAATACGCCAGGGAATCCTCGCGCCTGATGGCCTCCCTCAGGAGCGAAAAGGCGACGTCAAAGTTTCCTTTGCGGTACTCGAGCTCGCCGGCCAGCATGCCTGAGGCGACGCCGAAGACGTCAGCCTGCTTGCAAGGGATGCTGTTCAGACGGCTGGCGGGGACTCTCGCGCGCGCTGCTTCAAACTGTTTCTGTGCGGCCTCGGCCTCGGGAATCCGGCCCAAGGCGCTGAATGCGACGCCCTGGGCGTACAGGATCGTCGCGGTCGTGGCGCTGTAGAGGTCACGGTCTTTCGGGAGTTCCAGTCTTGTGATCTCCTCCCAGCGCCCAAACCTTATCAGTACGTGGGCGCGAGATGCATAAAAACTCTCGATGAAATCCGCCATGGGGGGGCTTTTAATGGACAGCACCTTGGCATCGATGACCTGCTCCAGCTTTTCCGCGGCCGACATGGCGTCTCGAAAGCGCCCAGACATGATCGCCGAGTACATCTTCGCACAGATGTAATGAACCCGGTAGGCAACGTAAAAGATCGGTGCGTCTTCGGCAGCAAAGTACTTGTCATCCGCGAGGATGGCCTCGTGGTTCGAGTCGACCCCGCGGCGGTAATCACCCACCGCGGCATCGATGTGCGTGGGCATGTGCAGCATGTGTGAAGCGTCCGGGACCAGAGAGCGCAGCCTATCCGCGGCGGGTTGTGCTTCCTCAGGTTTCGGGGACATCTCCAGCAGATGGATGTAGAGATGGCAGAGCGCCGGATGATTGAGACCACCGGAAAGTCTGAATGCTGAGTCGATTACTCGCCGGGCTTCAGTGGTGTGATCACCGGTAGGCTTGCCAGTGTCCAAGTCCCAGAGCCCTCGAGGTGTAATACACATCAGGGCTTCCGCAAACAGGGCAGCAGCATCCACATTGTCAGGGTTTGCTTGGTACACAGGCCGCATAGCTTCGGCATACATTCGATCCAGATGGCCAAAGTCGATATCAGGTTCGTCCGCAAGGGGGAAGCGAGCCGCAAGTGCCTTGATGAGCCCCTGCTCAACGGCAGTGGCGTTGGAAGCCAATGCAGCGGCACGAGCCAGATTTTGGTTGGCCTTGTCGATCGAGGCCTTCCTGTCTTTCTGGTCGAAAAACTTCCACGCTTTGTTGTAGTTTGGCCCGGATGTGAATGCTATCCCCCAAAACGCCATTGCACACGATGGATCACAGGTCGCAGCGCGCTCGTAGCAACGTCGCGATTCTTCAAAGTTGAAAGAGTAGGCCCACAGCAATCCGCGATCGAGCCATGTTTGGCAAGCTGATGAGGAGGTGGTTAATGGCCATCGATGCTGACCTAGATTATAGTAAGGAGAAGTTTCCTGGGTAGCGTCGGATGTCCTACATGGAGAGGAGCGTCAGAATATCAATAGTTGGAACCTTGCGCTATGTATGTACATACTGCA